AAAGGAATCTTTGGGGCATGCTTTGTTCAAATCCTTATAGTCCACGCACATTCTAAGTTTGTTCCCTTTTTTTAGGGACTACAACTACGTTGGCTAACCATTCGGGATATTTCACCTCCCGAATGGACCCTACTTTGAGAAGTTTGGTTACATCGTCCTTTATGAATGCGTGCTTTCTATCGGACTGGGGTCTTCTCTTTTGCTTCACCGGTCTGAACCTGGGGTCCAAACTTAGCTGATGTGTCGTTATGTCCGGCGGGATCCTTGTTATATCTAAATGGGACCAGGCAAAACAATCGATGTTATCGATAAGAAATTGAACGAGTTTCTTCCTGAGTTCAGGGCTCAACCCCATTCCCAAGTATACCTTTCGCTGGGGCCAGTGCTCGATTAATATGACTTGCTCTAGCTTCTCGATCGTCTATTTTGTGGCGTCGGAGTCATCGAGAATCACAAAAGATCGAGGGACCCTTTGATCACTATCCTCTTCGATTTTCTGGTTGTCTGGCTGGGTTGAAGCCGATGTCTATGATTGCTATTTGGTGTCCCGTTCTCCTTCCGGGCCCGATCCTTTTATCGGCGAAAGTGAGGACACTGGCTTAGCTTAGTCGACGGCGAGCATTTCTTTCGTGGATGGTTGTTCTCCGTACACCATTTTGACACCTCCCGACGTCGGTAATTTGAGGGCCTAGTATAGGGTCGAAGGCACAGCTCTCATGTTGTGGATCCATGGCCTTCCGAAAAGGGCGTTATATCTCATATCGCCTTTGATCACGTGAAACTTTATTTCCTGGATGGTTCCGGCCATGTTTATTGGTAGGACTATCTCACCTCTGGTGGTTTCGCATGCCATATTGAACCCGTTTAGGACAAGAGTTGCGGGTACGATCTGATCCTGTAGGCCGAGCTGCTCCACTACCTTCAATCGGATGATGTTGGCCGAGCTACCAGGATCGATTAGCACATGCTTAATTTTAGTTTTATTCACGGGTACGGATATTACCAGTGCGTCGTTGTGAGGTTGGATGATCCCCTCTGCATCTTCATCATCAAAGGACAGAGTCCCCATGGGTGCGTAATCTTGAGTCCGAGATCGCTTTTCCCTCACCATCGATGTTTTAGTGCATTTAAGCATTGGTCCCTGAGGGGTATCGATGCCGCCGATGATCATGTGGATGACGTGCTGCGGTTCTTCTTGCTCGTTTTGCTTGCTGAAATCCCTACTTCTAAAATGGCTCTTTGCCCTATCACTCAGAAAATCCCGAAGGTGCCCTTTGTTAAATAAGCGAGCTATTTCCTCTCTTAGTTGCTTGCAATCTTACGTTTTGTACCATGATATTCACACGTTTGATTGGGATTTCTTCGGGCAGGATCGGTCTGCATTGGTCGAGGCCATTTAGTGTCTTTGATGCGTCCGATGGCCGACATGAGAGCGGATGCACCAATGCTGAAGTAATATTCTGATAATCGAGGTGCTTCTATAGGATCGGCATATTTATCGAAGTCGCTCTTACTCATAAGCCCCTGAGAATTTTGTCCTCGATCAATCCTTCGATTGTTCCGAACTGTGTTGCGTGCTGAACCGTTGTTCACCCGATCTGCGACGTACGGTCTATATCGGTCTCTGTTCGACCTTTGTTCTCTGTCGATCTACTTTTGATTAATAACTGTCATGTTCTGATGAACGGGTCCGTACGGGGCTCCCGACTGATCATCCTCGACCCTAATTTTCGATTAATATCGGTTGTGCACATCTGCCCAAGTTACCGCTGGATACTCGATCAAATTTTGTTTCAGCCGATGTGATGCTGTCGAACTTAGCTCGTTCAACCCTTGGGTGAAGGCTTGTACGGCCCAGTCGTCTGTGACCGGGGGTAATTCCATGCGTTCCATTTGAAATCGGGATACGAATTCCCTCAGCATTTCATCCTGCCTTTGCTTTACTTTGAAGAGGTATGATTTCCTCGTTGCAACCTTTATGGAACCAACATATGCCTTTACGAATGAATCTGCTAACATGGCAAAAGAATTGATGGAATTCGGTGATAAATTGTGGTACAAGATCATACCTCCTTTCGAGAGGGTCTCCCCGAACTTTTTCAACTGGACGGATTTGATCTCATCGTCTTCCAAATCGTTGCCTTTTATGGCACATGTGTAATAGGTGACATGTTCGTTAGGATCGGTCGTACCGTTATATTTGAGAATTTCGGGCATACGAAATTTTTTGGGGATTGGCTTCGGTGCCGCACTCGACGGAAAAGGCTTTTGTATGAATTTTTTTGAATCAAGCCCCTTTATCATTGGTGGAGCCCCCGGGATTTGGTCGATCCTGGCATTGTACGTTTTCACCCTCTTGTCGTTGGCTTTNTCTTGTCGTTGGCTTCGACTCATTTTGTGAGTTCCTCGAGCAATTTAGTAATTCCGGGAGTAGTCCCCGATTCTTGCTCGTTAGATTTCACTATGGCAGGCTCTGTTCTGGGGGTGACTTCTCGAAGTGGATTGGAAACCGGCCTGCTTTGTGCGCTAGTTTGGCTATGTAGCTGAGCTATCGCTGCTTGTTTGGCTTGCAGCATCTTGAAGATCATACGTAAGCTGGCCCCGATTTCCCCTGGGTTTTGGGTGTCTCGGGCTACGGATCGAGTACCGCCCTGAATGCTTCTTTCCGGTTCGGAATGCTGGTTCGCCTCCAAAGCTATTTGTGAATTGATATCCAATAGTATTTCGGCTCGAATTTCAGGTACTTCGATTCGAGCCTCGGGTGCCAAGTTGTAGGTTTCATCTTGAAGGTCGGCTTCGTAATCGATCGGTGAAGCCATTCAATCGGTGGTTATTCGTAGCTGACCCGAAATTCTAGATGTTTTCGGAAATAAGTGCAAAGCACAATGGCATATTTTTTTTTCCAGATTTATATCAAATGACCACTGTTATCCTCGGCCCCACGGTGGGCGCCAAATTGTTTACCCGAAAAATGGATAGAGTTGAATTTATATGCAGTTCCGAGGATATGTGGCATAACTTGATACAAAATGCAAGGATAAATAAAATATAAATTTTGATTGGAGAGAATGCAATCTAGATAAGGTTATCAAGAACAATGAACCTTAGGATTCGACAAATAGAATCAATCTAAGAAACTGAAAGAGCGATTCTTTACTGTAGAAGAATATAGTACTTTTATTACAATGTAAGTCTCAGAAAACTTATCCTACAGAAATGATAACCAAGCCCTTTTATAGTGGAGGGATTCGGCTCCAAGCATAATAAAATAAACATTCAGTGGGAGATCCATGATAAGTCAGCTTTTCCATAATTTCTGCCAAGATTCTCTCTAGTGGGATTGCAACGGTTTTTGTCTGCGTGCTCGATCTT